GGGCCAAAACAAATGTAAACATCTGGTTCTTATTATTGAAACATAAATTAAAATAAATTATGTATCATTAATTTGGATGGTGAAAAAAAAAACAATATTCATTCTCACCTTTATTTCTTTATTCTATTCTGGTTCTTCCAACAACAACAAAAAAAAATGATAATAAATAAATCCTCTGGAACTTTCCTTCTTTCATATCCTTTTTGTATTTCTCTTTTTGCATTATGATATTGCTTCTATTGACAATGATGATGTTATTGATGGGGATCTATTTAAAACTCCATGATCATATTTTTGGTATTATTTTTTTTAACTTGTTCAGTTACTTGTCAATTCATTAGTTATAGACATTATTCAGTCAAACAAGTTTCAAACGATAATCACTATGCTACATTTTTAGATTGAGTACTATATTATCTGATTATAAATAATTTGAAGATTTTTCTAACACGAAGCTGAATCTTAACACACTAGATAGATACGATGACTAACATGCTACAATACTTGAAAATCAATAATTTATAAGTCACTTAAAAAAAGAGGGATGGAACATTCAGAAGAATTTTATATTCTCGAAAGAAGTGTTGTAAGGATGATGTTGTTGTAAAACCCTGAAAGATCTAATTTGCAATCAAGTTAAATCAATTATATACTGACTAAACGAAAATGTACTGAAGTTTCGATGATCAAATAATGATTAATATATTAGTATGCAGATTTTAAGATAGATTTCCTTTCTTCTATGTTATATTTGAGGATTTCACATACTCAAAAATATATGAGTAATTTCATTTAACAGTAAAAACAAACAAATACACTACTATTACGAGCAACCAAAATCACTAATGAAATTCTTCTCCTAGTTTACAAATTTTCTTAATATTTACTTAGAAGAAATTTATCCACTAGGTTTGAGAGAAAACGAAATTTAAATTTGGATATTATTTCTCCTGAATTATCATTGTGGGAATTTGTGGAGATTGTGGTATTTTAACAGTTGACTTCACGAGTCAGTTTAAGCCAGACCAGCATTGAAAACCTGGAAGCACTGTACAGTTGTTTTTCATCTTGGAATAAGACTCCTCAGGAGTGCACACACTTGATCCTAACTTTTGGGACTTGAACCCAGGACCTTTGATCTCACGCACGAACGTTTAACTTCCAGACTACTGAGCTGACATCCAACGGTGTTAATGTCTAACTTCAACCAACCTATGATATTGCACGACTATCATTGTTTTCAGTGGGTAAATGCCTCAAACCTGACACGGTCGAACTCCACCGGTCACGGTTTCTCACTAGAACTCCGTAAATTGCCTCTCGAAGCTAGTCACTGATGAGCACACGATAATTATCAGTATAGGGTTGTAAAGGTTGTTGAATTGTTATTGAGATCATAAACCGATCAATGTTGGACCATCATCGAAATCCGTTATCATTAGGTATACCATTTTTCTTCCACTTTGCTCAGCTATTCTCCATCCATCCATCCATCATCGAAAACCTGGATACAGTGGAAGGCCATTTGCGCAAAACTAAAGGTATTGGGTTCAAGTTCCTTATGTAGGGTTGTGGATGCACACTGCTGAGGAGTCTCAAATTAGAACGAGACGACCATCCAGTGCTTCCAGGTTTTGATGATGTTCTAACATTGATCGGTTCATGATCTCGATGACAATTCAACAATCTCCACAACCCTATGATGATCTAAATTGTATTTTAATTGTTAATCATAAAGTAATGGTCATTCACAAAACAGTAACTAAATAAATGTCTTTTTACAGTGATCAGTTAGAAACCCTGTAATTTCACCTTTTATATAATCAACAAATTATACAACTAGTACGGATGTCATTCAACCAAATCTATTAAAAAAAACAAATAAATTTATAAACCAGTAGACATTTCATGCACAGAGTTCCCTTTATCGTTTTGAAAAGAGCAAGAACAAAGATTCTAGCAGAATAGCATGAATTTATACTATTTCGCTGATCGTCGTCAGCTGCTTGCAACATGTGATATTTAAAATCATAACTACATAATGGGTTTAAATTACTTACATGAAGGGGTTTGGTTGGAAGTTGTATTGAAGACACACTAATATAATATAACAAGAGTGTAGATAAATTTAATAGACTGAATATTGTAAATATATACCTTATATGAAAGAACATTCTACAACAGTTTAAACGACCAGGAACAAGTGATTATATAATGAGTAAACCCTGATAGGAATAAAATGAGTAGAGCTCAGCTGACGAAATAAGATTACCAATCTGAAAGATGGCTGAAATAAAACTCAATGATTTAATAAATGCAAGAAAGAGTTTTTAAAAAATATTTAGCGAAGGAATATTTGTCACCAAGGCAAGGAAAGCTTGATAACCATCTCCTTTTGAACACATAAGTCAGGTTTTTAACGCCTGACAGTAACGGCTTTAGCAAATTTCAGAAGACTGGAGTTTGGGTGCTTACTAATCACCTTGAAAGATTGCAAGGCATCGACCTGAGGTCCTGTACCAAGGAGATGTTTGGTAATTGTATTGTTTAGGGTCTTTCCTTCTCTTGTTCCCAGACATTTTGGAACATGTTCATAAAGTCTAAGATATGCCCTCCTTTCTGTTCGGCCAGTGTAGCTGCTTTGGCAGGTTCATGTAAACTTATGAATACAGTTGGTAGTAACATGAAAGGGGTGCTTGTGAACCTTTGACTGAGTTATTGAACATGTTGTTTTATAAAAAATTAGAATTTTAGCCGCCTGATAAGTTCTGGCTGGCGCACTGTTTAGTCTCCTACTGATTGTGTTTGCGACACCACCTTTGAAGTTAAGATTTATAGATATTGGCTTTTTACTGACCGTAATTACTTCTGTCTTGTTTGCTTTAGGCTTGCTTTATTTGTCAATAATATTTTTTTCGGGTAACTGTTATCTCTTAGGCATTTTTCCACGTTCATTAATTCTTCTTCCAGTTTGTCCGTGGTACATATCATTTCTACCCTATAAAATAGTGTTTTAGCCAATGCTTTCTTGTAAGTGATTAAACAAAAACTATTGAAATGCAGGTAAAGGCCGTTCCAGGCACTTTTTCGATAAACCGGATGTTGAACTGTCCCGTCTTCTCCACGTTTTATGGCAACATCTAGAAAGTGGAACATGTCATTCTGTTCGTGTTCCATAGTCAATTGTATATTAGGATGAGTATTATTGAATAGTTTTAGCAGGCGGATTGCATACTGTTTATTGTTACATACAATAAACATGTCATCAACATATGTGGAGTATTCCATCGTTTCATTAATCGTTTGTTTAAGCACTGTGTTTTCAAGATACCCCATAAAATATCTGCCATAATTGAACCTAGTGGACTCTCCACTGCTACGCCATCGACTTGACGATATGTGGTGTTATTAAACTGGAATTGGACATCTGTTGTGCACGTTAGTAGTAGTTTTTTTAAATCTGGGGCTGGTAAAGGTAGAAGATCATAATTATGACAAATTATTTCAATAGACACACAAACTGAAGTGATAATTTAAACGTATAAAGCCTAAGTAACTCATCTATGCGAACATTTCATTTTTCATTAATCATTTTTGGATTCAAAAACTCACTCCATCAACTTGAGTTCATGCAACTAAGTAGTATATTCACTGTTCAAACATTAAATTCAACTCACAATGGAATACACTATCTCATTTACAATTTTTTGAGATAAATTGTCTACTGAACAAATAGAAAAAAAAAGTATATATGTAGATGATTATACAACGAAATATGTGTGTTATAAATGAATTTAAATGGAATAATAAAAGTTGGCAATTTTTTTAATTAGTTGAGATCATGAGTCGATTGAAGCTAGACCACAATGGAAAACCTGGAATCACTGGATGGCCATTTCTTCCTATTGTGGGACTGCTCAACAGTACGCATTCACGACCCCGCCTCGCGAGATTCGAACCCAGAACCTATCAGTTTCGCGCGCGAGCACATAACCACTAGACCACTAAGCCAACATCCAACGGTGTTAGTGTCTAACTTCAACTAATCCACGAAACTGAGCAACACATCCACTACTGTCATCAATAAGTTACTATCTTACAATTGACCACTGATTGAACTCCACTGGTCACTACTTCTCACTAGAATTTTAATTTCTAGCATACATATTATTGTGTTATTATCAAACTATCTTCTTCTTTTAGTGACAGAATTCAAAACAATTTATCTCATTATTGACTATAATAAAAAGAAAAGTTATCTAATTATTATCGAAACTTGTTAGAAAAAATAGGCATGAAATTCATCTCTTAATTTCATAGAGAAAATCTTGATTTTCTTTTTATAAATAATGCAATCAAAATGTTAAGAATTTAGTGTAGGAATAATACCAGTGAAGGGGGTAATATTAGTAATAGTATAAGCATTGTATGTAATTCATCATATGTGTAAATGTGTCTCTGTCACAATATTTACTTGTTTGTTTGTTTGTTTATTTACTAGTATTTTATACATGACTGTATAGGGTCATAATGATGTTGATGATGATTCCTAATTTACAAATGAAACAATAACAAGACTTTTTTAGAACCAACATTATAATACATATATTTCTAAGACACTTTTGATTGGATAAATGAAGAACTAGTAGGCGGCATAATCTTAAAGGTTAAAAAAAAACACCCTATAAACAGGATTAAAGTGGATGAAAAAAAAGTATTTAATCTCACTCCCTCCCCCACATTCACTCATACTAAATAGAGAAGACATTACCGGGAATGACATTGTAGCAAATAAAAAAAAAGAGAATAATAATGTGATGATAATGGTAATAATGGAAATAATGATCATTAAAAAAAGGGTGAGAAAAATCAAATTACACTACTACCTCAAGAAATTATTTAAATATAATAAACACATGTATATACATATGTACACATACGTTTATCTAGAAATACTCTCCTTTTATTGAATAAAACCGCATATTATACATTGGCATATCTTTTAAATAAATAGTCAAATCAACTTGGATCATTATTATTTTATAAAAATAAATTCTTCTGTATACAACTTGTAAAATTCCATTCATTTATAATGACAACAGTAACAGCCTCAATGGAGTTAAATAAACAAACAGATATATGTTATATATCAAATTTAATAAGTCCAAGTAACATTATGAAAATAAATGGCAATAATAATAATATCGGTAATAAGAGTAATGATGACAATATAATGCATGATATTATCCATAATAAAACAGAACATTTAAAACATTTGAACTTTTCATCTAAATTATTGTCAGAAAATGAAAATATTGTAAATATAATGAAACATTTTATTCATCATAATCAACAATCATCATTTTCACCATCATCATCATCATCATCATCACCATCATCATCAACAACATCTTCACCAACAGTAAACAATTCAAATGAATATCTACGTAATAATGATAATATTGATAATAACAATAATCCATTAAATACATTAACTTCTGATGAATTAGAACAGGAGAATGAAGGACAAAAATCATTTCTTATATCCGATCTTTTGAATACAAATGGTACAAATGATGAATCTGAAGAAACCAGTATGAAATCACTATCAATGAAACAGAAAATTAATTCAGGTTAGTGATATATATATATATATATATATATATATATATATATATATATATATGTCAGGTAGTTAAAAGTAGTCTACAATAAACCCTGTTCGAATTAGATGACGTTCCAGTTGACACTTATTAACAAAGCATAACTGATACTCTCCGTGAGAACACATTTATAGTCTGAGACGATATCATTGAGCTAACCTGACCATAATTGACCACTTGTATAACTGAGATATTTACATCCGATCGATCACTGAGTAGTAAGTGACCAATATTATGTTTGTCTAGGCGTTTAATGCTGACGGAAGCAAAATGAGTAGTTATAATAAAATTACAGAATGTAAAGAACTGAGTTTATTGAATATTTATTATTTTTTATGTATAAAAACTATTACAAGCATTTTAATTTCTTTGAAATTGTACAAAATGAATAATTACCGTTACCACAGTTTATGCAAATTTATTATTTTATCTGATGAACTAAACACTTCTCTCTCAGTAAATCTGGGAAGATTTGGAGCTAATCACTTGTAAATCTTATTTACACTACCGAAGTGTATGTATATAATACTGTCAACATTCACATTACTTTTATTAAATTACGAATAATGAATTTTAATTAACCTGTTTTATTGTTAAATATGATGAGACTATAATTTGTCGACGACCTTTGAGCGACGCCAAAGTGGCATTGAGAATGTCCACCTACTAACCAGGGCTAAATGAGGGGTTTAAACCAGTGCTAAGGATAAGGATTGTGATTTACAGTTGATGGTTAGGGATAAGGTTCAGATTTAAGGTTTTCATCACAAAGTGATATCAGCTAAAATGTCAAAATGCTATTTAGCTAAATGGATAAAGAATTTCGCGCCGAAATCCAAGACCTGTTATCGTAAATCTGATTGATTCGTCCATAAATTATAGTCTCGCCGTAAATATCTTTAATTCGAATAAACCATAGTAAAAAACATTCATATAAAGTTTACTAATTTAACTCATATCAGAAATTAGTCAAATATTTTTAATGCCAATCGTTCATAACCCTTACTACTAAAATAATACAAATTGACTAACTAATAAAACTCAATATATAACTTTACTTTATACCAGTAGTTGGCTATAACTTGGATTTCAACGAGATCATTTAAAAATTATTTAATATATTATATGATAAGTATTTGAAAGTTTAAGAAGAAATGATTGTATAGTAATATTAACAATTCCTAACAAAACAAACTGGGTTCGAGTCCCAGAGTGGACATCAACTCTGAGATGCAGGTACATCCAGCTGACAAGTCCCAAATGGGACGAAGTAGGCATCCTGGATTCCACTGCTAGCCACTATCCATTTTTGCTAACAAACAGATAATGTTTTTAGGAAAAATAGATTAATTTGAAATATTTACCAACATTTCAGATTATCAGTCTAATTATTAATGCACAGTATATATGATAATTAATGTTTGATCATAAATGCGTTTTTTCTAATGCCATGTTTATTACTTAAATTAAAGGTAGTTTTGGCATCAGCTGACTGAATATATTTTGAATAAATATAATCAGTGATTGAGAGAAGTCACAAACAAGTATTTACCGGAGGATTATTAATGTACAAACACTTGTTGATAACTTTAATCATTGATACTTATGCTTCAGTGTTTTCATCGAAGATGGTCAGCTCTCCGGATAACCCAGTGGTAACATCTCTGACTGTGAAGTAGGGTAGTATGGAATCGGATCGGCCAAAGAACATTAGTTCTCTCAACATTACAGGTAGACCTTGATAACGAGTTCCAAGTAGTACGAGACCTAGTTCTAGAGTTTCCTGTCGACTACCATCAACCACTATCTTATGTCTAAATATAGTGCATGCGATGTTGAGTCACCTAGACAAGTGACCAAAATGCAACTTGATCGACAGAATTCGATTTACACTAGGAAGGATCTGGTATACATGACATTAACCACTACTTAGCGATTAACCAATTATAAATGAGTATACGTATTACGTATACATCGTAAAGCAGATTCAGACTACAAAGAATAAGCGAAGATATCATGTGACCAAAATTAATCTCTAAAATGAGCTAATTATTCTTTATTTATTTGTAAAACTAACTTAGCCTAGAATATATAATTCGTAGGTCTATCACACGGTGGTGAATATGGCAATACACACACATGTACGATATATTTATAAATAAAACAAAGTAATATTACTTAAAATGGAATTCATTTGCCAATAGTGTACGGTTTTAATTAAAGTTTAGGATTATCAAAAGGCCTCTTTGTGAATAAAACTTATTTTATTCATGTAGTCTTGTTAAACTAAGATCAACCCATGCTGTCAAAAGTTCTAATTAGAAGTATGTGACTTATTAGTTTAATTCAGAATGGATTCAAATAATTACGATAGAAAAGTTTTACATTTATTCTAGAGCACAATCCATTGTTAGTATGTTCATAGAATGTGCAATAATGTAACATTTAATTAGTAGTGATGTTTTACCTAAAACCGTTATATTAAATGATCGTTCTAACCTAGCCTAGGAATCATCAGTAGTACACGACTACAACTAAACACAATACTGAAAATAAGATTTACAGACTTGTTAGGAAAAATCGATAGCATTTCGTCAGTGCTCCACAACTCAATGATTCATACTCCTGCCAATTTTAATAAAGTTACACATCGGTTTGACAATTATTCGATGTTCTCGATGAGTGACTACTTCACCTTTTATTTGGCTGACCTCATAGATAATAGCTTCTCAGTAGATCTTTGTCTAATCTATATTCAAACTAATCACTGATAATCATAGAAAGCTTCATCTACAGCCTTCTGTAAAATTAGCTCCATTATACAGTCACTAATGTAATCTACTAAAACAATGAATAATTGATTCATTAGGACCAATTCAATTAAACAACTAACTGTAATCATAATGAGGATTTCTCGAGATTGATAAACAATGACCAAACAATAAAATAAACCTGAATTGTCATGACTGAAGTGAAATTATGACTTCTTTCACAGTTGTATCTCAGATTAACCGGTAACATATAATAAATCCTTATAGCTTTTGTAGTTTACACCAATCATTGACCTTAGATAACCACTGAAAACCAAGAAGCATCTGATAACTGTTTCGTTCTAGTATGAGACCCCTTGGTAATATTCATCCATATTCCTACCGTGATTTCAACAAAAAACCTACATATTGCACTGCGAGTGCTTTACTTTTATACTACTGAGCCAGAGACCTATGGTCTGAATTCCTAATTTTGATCAACTCATGATACTAAGTAAAAATAACTCATTATTTTCATGATTGTTTAACTAATATCAATCTTGAATGTAAACAATCTTATTGATTCTTATAATTGAAACTTGCATTATCAAGATAATTTACTTATTTGATTATGAAATCTAGTAACTGTGTACTGAATTGATATGAATCATTGTATAATATCTTTATTATGTAACTTAAATGTCAGATTACACAATCATCACTTGAAATCAATGTTATTATAAAAGAAGTTGAAATGAATCATAATTTTATTTGATTATATTAAATAACATCATAACAAATAACAGGGCGTAATTAGTAATAACAATCAATCTGTTAATATTAAACCAAATTGAGATCTTATAATAAAGACGAGAAAATATAGTGTAATATGTAATAGTGTATTGAAAATTATCAATAATATACCGCAGTCGATTAACATATTTATCCGTATAAGCTTGAAAGTGATTTGAAGATGTTCGGTTTAATTCTATGTTAATGATGAATTCGCATTGCTGAAAAGAGAGAGGATCACGAAATTCGAATAAAATAATTTTCCGGAGGTATTTTGATCCTCTTTAAAAAAAACGATATTTAAACTGCAGAAAGAAAATGCTACAAATAACTTATTTGTGATATGTTAAAATGTTATTAAACCGTTTCATTTAAAATTTTAATGCTATTGTGGTTATTTTTGAGAACTGGGAGATCCTAAAGGATTAATATTAATTTAATTAAGCAGTATATTTTTGGTTCAAACTTACATAAAGAGATGAGAAATTTCCAATTGAATCAAATTCGAAATGGGGATTTGTGAAGATTGTAAAGATTATAACAGTTGAATTCATGAGTCGGTCTAAATTAGACCACCATCGAAAACCTAAAAGTACTGGAGAGTTGTTTCGTCTTAGTATGGGACTCTTTAACAGTGTACTTCTACGATGCCATACATAGGACTCGGACCCAAGACTTCCGGTCTCGTGCGTGAACGTTTAACCTTTAAACCGATGTGCCATCATCCAACTACAGTCTCCAAAAATCCCCATTCTGATCACGATTATCGTGTACTCAGTAGCGATTACCTTCAAGATGGATTTTCTGGAGTTTTTGCTAGAAACCGTGACCAGTAGGGTCCAACTCGTGTCTGGTGGAGACAGTTATCCACCTCAGACAATAGATGAAGGGTTGCTCAAGATCATGGATCAATTAAAGTTAGACTTTAATACAGTTGGATGCCGACTCAGTAGTCTAGAGGTTAAGCGTTCATGCGTGGGACCGGTGGTCCTGTATCCGAATCTTTTGTGCGGCATCGTGGATACGCACTGTTGAGGAGTCTGATTGTAGGACGAAATGGATATCCAGTGCTTATAGGTAATCAATGGTGGTCTAACTTAGATAGACTCATGAATTCAACCGTTAGAATCAAATTCATTGAAGATCTTGATATTAGAGATTTGGAAATAATATTACGATTGCGCTTTAGTGACTATTAACCAATTAGAAAACAAACTAATTTTAAGGCTTCCCACTGATTCCCACTAAACAGTTAACATTAATGAAAATAACATCAAGTCATTTATACTTAAGTATGGTCATTCTCTAGCTTGACTAACGAAATTTAATCAATATTAAAGGGTTAGAAAACATTTATATTAGCTACAATTCAATGATTGATTAGTATTCCTTATCATTTGAGTATTTAAATAACTCATAGTTCACTTC